ATGATTTCATTTCACTAATAAGACAAGAGCAAGATCATCTATATGAATGAGAACCTTAAAGACCCAAACAAGAGGAGGACTGTTTATGAAAGTAGTTTCCCAAAAAAGCTTAATTTCTCTTGGTTTGGGTGAGGAAGGGAAAGTATAATGTAAAATTAATTAATGGTGACAAAATGAAAAGGTTGGGGGCAGTTTAAAGATGGAACGGAGGGAATGGGAATAGAAGGATTGATTTGACAAAATGATGCTTAATTAAAAATGGATGTTTTCCATTCAACTTAATGGAGATTAGTATCCAAACCAGTAATGTTTCCTATTTTGCAAATCTCTCTCACTTTCTCCCTATTTCCCTTTCCACAAACGACAAAACCCACAAAATCAATTCCCCACCCACCTCATCAGCTCCCACGTGTGCCTGCCTACTCTCTCTCTCTCTCTCTCTCCTGTTTTTTTCCTTCTCCCACGTGCGAGTAATACCATCTCTCCCATCTCTGCCACAGGCAAAAACGYCCTTGTCCAAGAACAAAGCCCCTCTCTCCTGGAAAATCCAAAACAAAACAAGGGAAAAAAAAAACTTCAACCAGCCGGGAATCGAACCCGGGTCTGYACCGTGACAGGGTACTATTCTACCACTAGACCACTGGTGCGCGGATSACCAAAAATCAGTGAGCTAATCGATAATCATTTGATTTTAATAGTCAACAGCGTGATTTGCCGGCTTCGCTATTTTTATATAAAAGTTGGTCATGGGGTCATCGACCTCATGGTATGGTGGAATTGAAAATATCTAATCGTATTACACGTTCCTAATTTTTTAAAGAAAAATTACGATATTTTTTTGGAGACGTCATGATTGTGGTGGTTATTTAACTGTATTCATTACCTACTAAATATTAAAATAATAACAAAAGGAAAAAAAAAAACACACAAACTTTTTGCTCCCAGTGTTTTGGTTGTTTCACTTTTATTTGTCTGCATTCACATGCATTACCCGAAAACCTTTTTTTTCTTTAATTAAATTACAAAATCCACTGTTTCACCTTCAATCATACATCTGTCTGGTTTCCGAAAAGGATTTAATTATATGTTTATGAATAAATTATGTTTGGTAGATTTAATATGTTAATTTCTAATGGTAATATTGATTTTTCAAATTTATTCTCCCTCCCTTCGTTATGGGTTATTAGTTGGGCTTCAAATTTATTCTCCCTCCCTAGTCCACATATTCACTCTTCAGCTTGGGCCTGTGTAGTCTGTAATCACTCTTTGATAAGATGATGGATTGGACTGGATTCAACCCTTATGCTGCCTACTTCTGAAAGGCCTGAAGCCCAGTGGGCCTACCTGTCAGATATTAGCTCTTTGGGCTTCTCATTGAATTCAAGGGTTCGTATGGGCCACACCATGGGCCCATGGCCCAAAGGGTTAGCGCCCATTCACACGTCCGTCCAATTTTTAGTCTTACTTTACTTTATTTAAATTTAAAGTTTGATGTATTTAATTATCATAGAATACAATATATATAAAATTAGGGTATAATTACATCAACTTTTATTTATTTATTATATAGATATTAATAGATAAAATTCTCTTTAATTCAAAATAATAAAAGATGGTAAAGATCTCTTAGAGAAAGTAGACATGTCTTGACCGCTATACTCATGTTCCATGCGTCCAAATTTACTAATAATTTAGTAATARCTCATTTCAATGTTAACAAATTTTAACTCTTTAAGCATATAGAAAGAATTAATTGAGATAAATTAATACATTGAAAGTAAATTTGACCCTTTTAAAAGATTAAGAATTTTATTGAAAAAAATCATTAAAATTGGCAATTTTTAAGGACTAAGGACGAAATCTCTAAAAAGGTTTATGACCATTATACTTATTTAGCCTATATTATATATATAATATTAATATATAACTTTTTCTGGACATCATATATGATATATCAATTTGTTTGTGTTCTACAAATATATAATCTACATTTAGAAAACAAGCTTCGCCTGCATTTTAAAAAGAAAAAAATAAAGAGCTTCTCCCCCGTCAAATGGATAGAGAGAAAAAAAAAAAAAAAGTGCATACTATATTTGATCAAATGTTTTTTTCTTTTCATAATAAATCTAATCTAATYATTCAATGATGCCCAACTTGGACCATCTTAACCAAGACATAGCCTTTATCTTATGACAATCACATTGGCACCCCCACATGACCGTCATGTGACAACACGACACATTGTTCAATATTTATTGAATAAACTAAAGTTCATTAATATACTTGTATCAAAACTACCTTAATTAAAGGTCATGCTGCTATGTCATTATCTTGCATACTTATTTATTGAGTCAAAATAGAATTTGAGACGATGGTCGTCAACCTTGTTTTTAGTACAACATGTGGATGTGAGAAATCGAACTCACAACCTCTTGATTTGAGATATATGTCAATTATCGTTGTAAGCTATATGCTAACTTTGGGAGATGATCACAATGGATAAACTTCATTAAGGAAATTATTTAATTTCTCAATTTTCTAAATTAATCCCCTTATTTCGTGATTGTGATCAGGATTGGCTCCAAGGTTAATTACCGATCACTGATCTAAGAATTAGAAATGAATGTCTTAATCCAGTTCTTGGACCTTTGATACTTAAATAAATTTGAGGCAAATGGACCCAACCACATCTCCCAACCCCCGAGATTCACTCAAATTATTCTCGAAGCATCCATAACTAAATTCAAATATACTTTTTATATAGAAGAAGACGATTAAAGTCCAAATTATATATTTAAATAAACCAACCAATAATTTGTAGAATTCTCAGGTTTACAAAGTTTAGGAGCTGAAGATATAATGTGGACAAAGGCAACTTTTATTTCCCTTTTAAAAAAAAGACCCTTAGTGAGGTTGACTTGTGCAGTGCAGGTTCATCCTCCCTCGCCATATATCTTACGTTCTATCTCCTCAACTTGCCAATATTCTATCTTCCTATTATATTTTACATTATTGTTATCGAAAACCGAACATTTAAATCATATAATATGTGTTACGTGTATTATTTATACTCATAAACTAATAAAATAGGCACAAGTAGAAAGTGTTGAACTAAATCCAGTGGCATATGAAAGGATCCAAAGAAAAAGTAAAATAATTAGGTTTGGAACGAGATACAGAACCCCTGGCACAACTTCATGATTCAAGTGAGTAAATAAAAAATAAATAAAAGTATAGGCTTAGCCAATATTGGAAATAAAATACTGTTTTCAGTAAGACCAACTTGGAATTTGGATGATGCCCACATCCATATTGGAACATGCACTCAACTTGCACTACTTAACTTCACCATTTAATTTTTACCATTTCTTTCTCTCTCTCTCTCTCTCTCTCTCTCTCTCTCTACTTTTTCAATGAAATAGTGACGAGAAAGGAAAGAATCAACTATTTGGTCATTTTTATTAATTTCTACTTGGTCTTTATCTGGAATGTCATCCTTTTTTTTTTTCCTTGTAAAGTCAAAGATGAATTCTAAGACAACAAATGATGTGTTCTTCTTTGAATGTTTGCTCTACATGATGGGGGAAGTTATGTTTTTAGATTATGGGCATGTTTCAATTGAACTAATTGCATCAAAATATAATATAATTATTAGATGATTTCATTTTTTTATTTTTTACAAACACTAGAGAATGGGGGGTAAAGATATTGGTAGATAATAATTTAGAGATAGAGAGAGAGAGTGGGTAGGATTGGGTGAGAGTGATGGATTGGTAGTACTCTACCATAATTAATAAACCCATGACATAATGTTGACAAGCAAAGCCATCACTTTCAAAATTAAAAATAATAATAATTATAAAAATAGAAACAAGGCCCACAAGGCCAGCCCAAAAGGTCATCATGAACATTTTTCATTTTTATGGGATAAAAAAAAACTTTGGATATTATTGGGAAGAGGGTGAGGTGGCGGGGTGGGGCCAGTGGAGGGATGAGAAAAGACAAAACTTTTTTATTTTTTTTTTTATTTTGTTCTGAGTTCATGTACGTAACAGATTCATGCATGTTACCCAAACCCAAACCCAAAGCAGAAACAAAGAAAAATAGTAACCCATTACCCAAAAATCATCTAATTCTATTCTCATTCTGGTTTTACCATTTTCTCTCTCTCTCTCTCTCTCTCTCTCTCTATCATCCACCACAACTCAAAGTCAACTATTGGTTGCTTCTTCAAAAATCTCTCACCATTAATGTTCCATTGTTGGTAAATGTAAAAACACCAAACCTTAAGTCTATTTAATGAAACTTGGGAGTAGAATATTTGAAAACTATTATATTATATTTTTGTTCATGTGCATACCATATGCGTAGCTGCCTTAAGTTATCCAATTAAATAATCAATGCTTGCTATTGTTTTTGGTTATTTGGTGGAAGCTGAACTAAGAGTGCGAATGAGTTTGGTTCTATTTCGCACAACGAATCAATTTTCGACCCAATCAACTCATTTTAAGTTAATTAAGGTAAATTCATGTATTAGTTCTGGAAAATCTCAACACAAGGACAAATATGAAGAAAATATTTATTCCTGTCAAAGAAGAAAATATGTGAAAAAACTGCTGTGCAACCTAAATGCAGCCGAACATTGATGGCTCTTTTAAGGAAAAAAAAAAAAAAAAACAATATTGACACGAAGATGAATAACATTTCAAGAACGGCAGTAAACTTACATAATATATATATCACATAATCAATTTGATCAACAATGAAATCATAAAATAATTGATTCGATTCCACAAGAATCGAACCTAGATAATTAACTGTATCAAACCTACTTGATATATGACTTATTTGATCATCGAATTGATTCGATTTGTTTGAGCCTAGGTCAAACTATGACAAGAAATTAGAAAAAGAGAGAATAATGGAAGCGACCATTTTCTTTACCTCCCTGTTAGAATTGAAGGAAGTGAACAGTGATTTTCCAAACAACTGCCAGAATATGTCAAAGGAAAAGAGAGTGCGAGGCAACTATTGTATACCATTTTCACTGTGAAATTGTGAACAATTTTTTCAAGTTCGCAAGATTTCTCTGGCGGAAGAGATGGGTGGGGAAACTGAGACTAATATAATTGCTTGCTAGCTCTCTATCAAGATACCAGATTTTTGCACATAAAACATTAACTTCCAGTCTCTCTCTCCTCTTCCTCCTCACACAATCTCGTTTGATTGCAGCAGAGCCCGGCGAAGTTCCGTGGCTATTCCTTGCAACTGAACTGGTTTTCGGATGACACCGTTCATACCAATCTGCACGCATCTTTCCCAATCTTCCCCGGCACTTGCAGTTAATGCAATGATCACTGGCCTGTAATTCTGGCTTCTAAACTTTCGGATCCTCGTTGCAACTTCAAAACCATCTAAATGCGGCATGTAAAGATCCAAGAACACCACTTGGACTGAAGAGCCAGCAGGTGCCATGGCTGTGAGACATTCGTATCCAGAAGAGACTGCGGTCACGTTGCAGCCCAATTTCTCGAGCAGCTTTCGTGTCACAGCCCTGTTCATATCGTCTGCATCAGCTAATATGACTTGCAATCCTCTGAAGAGGGAGTTGGAGTGTGGATGTTCAGAAGATTCTCCAGGCTCAGCCATGGCCACTGCTATGGAGGGTCGGAGTTGAAAACGAAGAACGAGAGCCATGCTTCGTGTAAATCCTTGAGGATTTGGGATTACCCATATATTCCCTTGCATCAACTGCCAGATAAGACCATCAACAAGAAGAAGAAGAAGAATGGCAAAAGGAAACAGCCACTTTTAAGACTAAAAATAGTAGCTTGCACAAAACGTTTAATTGGACTAGGAAAAGTTTGGTAAATATTAGATACCCATATGAAAGACCTTGAAAATAAAACAATCTTTCCCCGGACAGAAATTCAAAAAATAAAAAACGTAACTTTTGGGCTAAAAGTTCCAAGTCAAAGATTGTTGCGTTTGTAAATTGAAATCCAAAATCCAAACTACCATTCGTTCAGTTGATGTAAGCAGTAACCCACGAAAGAGGAATATACAACTCTGGTAGCCCATAAGACCATACCAGTTTCAATTGGCCAAATCTTCAGAGAAAGAAATGACAGAAGCTAAAGCTAATCAAAGCAAATGGAAAAAATAAGAACTAATGAAAGTTTTTCTTCCCTGAGTGAGACTACTGCAGCAAAAGAAACCAAAGGCTAATAGAGTAAATGCACAATCTTTAGCTTCATTCTATTGGTTTCATGAAGTTAAAAATGACTGAGAAGAAGGATGGTATTTAAACGCAATATAGAAAACTAACCTTAACAAGCTTTTTGCAGATGGTAAAGCTCAAGCGTTCCTCAGCTCCATCACTGGCGTATCTCCGATCACCAGATACCACGTTTGGAGTAGGGCCCTCTGATTGTGAATTACTCTTGTTTATCCCAATCTCAAATCTGATATACGCATCCCCATCAGAAGAGCTTTGTCTCCAGTTACCCCATCTTTGGTCATTCCTTCCCTGACTTCCACTCTCGGCTACAACCCGAAACAAAGCATATCCTCCTCCCTGGTTGATGTCATTTAATAGGCTCCCCACCATATGCAAAATCACTTGAAAGACTCTTCTTTCATCACCCATTACATGATCGGGCAGAGACCTCTGAACCTCGAAGGCAAAACCGAAGCCCTTGTATGCACACAAGCACTTGGCAAGACAAGCTGCCTCCTTTATCATTGAATGCAACCTAAAAGATCTCATCTCCAACTCCAAAGGAAATCTTGCACTATCCTTTATTGAATTGTCCATAACATCATCTATCAATGTCGATACAACATTCCCAGTCCTCACCATTGCATCGAGAATAATGCGTTGATCATCACTCATGTTCTCATTCTGCAACATTGAAAGCAAACCCATGATGGAGTGCATAGGTCTCCTCATCCCATCACTCATTACCTTCTGGAAGGAGTTTCTAGCTTGGCTTGCCATCATAGCATTCCTCCTAGCCTGCTGCAGCGCTCGATTCTGCTCGGCCAGTTTCTCTCTCATGAGCTGGGACTCTTCAAGAAGAGCAGCATGGGAGAGAGCCACAGCCACCTGGTCAGCAACCACCTTTATTATCTCAAGCTCCTGGTTATTCCAAGATCTAGGTTGCCCACCAGGGAGAACTAAAACCAGAATTGCATAGTAGGTCGGAACTATCTCAGGAGTTCCTCCCTTAAAGTTGGAAACTCGTAGCATAGGCATCCGAATCGCTGCTGCAGGTCCCCGCTCATCAGACTCACCACAGCTAGCTACAACAAGTGGTGAATCAGGCCCGAGAATGTTAACACCATCACTACCCTTGATTTTAATGACATCAGAACCACTAATTGGTATAGAGACATTGTAGCCATTTGAGAAGCTCCTGCCTTTCAACTCATGAGTCAAATTCATCACTGTCTTGTTCTCATTAGGCATCCAAACTGCACAGTAATGCAATCCCAAAGTCTCAGACAGCTCAAACATGGTCGTGTAAAGTATCGTATGTCGATCGAGCGACTTGCGGATCTCGTGGGTAAGCATCCGAACGTGTAAGCCTGCTTCTCTCTGCTTCATTATCATTCCAACTTCTCTTCCAAGATCCCATGTCTTCTTCTTCAACATAAACTCTCTCACCTTCACCTTGAGAAGCAAAGGAATGARAGTGATGAGGGTTATAGCAGTAGCACAGGAAACCAGAGCAGTGAGGATTTTGAAGACAGTGAGAGCTAGCATTAACTGGAACGAGTGGGGGCCATAAGTCCAGCCATTGAGCAAATGGGTCAAACCACATAGAACAATGAAGGCAATGAACTGAAATAGAACCCATTTGAAGGGTACATTGGAGCAGCTAACGAAATAGAGAAGTTCAATAGGGATAGAAAAGTAGGCCACGGCAATCAAGAAATCACTCACACGCTGGCACTCCAAAATGTTCTCAATGCTCCATAAACTACCCTCGTCATCGCAATTACATCGCGGAAATCCGCTGTCGGCAGCAGAAACAGATGCAAACAATAACAAAATTAGAAACCCAGATGGCAATGCCTTTAACATTGCATCCAAAAGGGCAAGCTTCTTCAATCCATTAATGCACAAAATTTGAGTGACTCAACAAATCCCAATGGTTTACAGCTGATGGAGTCCCACTTGACCTCAACTATAGCAAGAATACACTCGTCTTCATTTCCCATTTCCTGGAAAGAAAATAAGAAGCAGGAAGAAACCACATCAGCGAAGTGAAAGAATTTACAATCCCCATTTCAAAACAGTAGAGTGCCCTTCTATCTAAAAAAAAAAAAAACAAAATCTCCACCCCGATTTAAACTTGCCCAAGAGCTCCGCCGAGAAAAAGGGGGAAAGGAAAAATCAACAGCATTCTCAAGAAATTGGAAAGCGCACCAACCAACCCCTAGCGTCAAAGGAGAAAAAACGAATAGGGGGCAAAATACAGAAGAAGCAACGCTACCAAAAGTAGATAATCAAACCTGAAGAGGCAAAACCAACAAGTCGCCAATACATCAGATTCCATTCACATCCGAGGCCAGATCTTAGCATTCCACCGTATGCAGAGGCATGAAGCGCTTCACCAACCCATCTCCCTCATCCACTAACCCAATCCATCCCACTTTCCGCCCATTTACACACGACCCACCAAACAGGAAGGCAAATCAATCGCCGAACGCCTCCTCTTCCTTGGAGCAAGAAGATAAAAACCCCCCGGCAAAAGATTAATTCAAGAAAGAAAGGGATTGAGGAGCAAAACAAAACACGATTACAATTTGAAAAAATAAAAAAATAAAAGAAACCCACCAGTAAGAAGAAGCGATCGAGGAAATAATTAAAATTAAAATCAAAAAGAAGAAAAAAGAGAGAGCAGGAGAGCAAGAAAACCGAAGAGAATCAAAACCAGATCTTCTTTTCTTTCCTGGACAGAGTTGAGCTATACTCTTTATAGGTAGCTAGAACAAGTAGAAGTAGAATCCCTCCAAAAGAGAGGGGGAAATAAAGAAAGAAATTGAAGGCAAGGCAAGGCAAGGCAAGGGCTACACTCTTCTCTCTGTGATTCGTGAACTGGGTGCGATGTTTCTCTCTCCCTGCCCTTGAAAATTCAAACACAGAGTAAAAAGGTTTTTGTAAGAGAGGGAGAGGGAGAGGGAGAGGGAGAGGGAGCGCAGACTGTTTGGTTTTGGTTTGCGCCGTTGTTTAGGAAATGGGCAGAAAATAAAAAGAGGAATTGGAATTTGGAGAAGGACAAGGAGGGGAAGGAGTGGGCCCCACTCGCTCTTACATGAAGAGAACTTAGACGCTCTTTTGCTTATAAATCTCCTCCTCACTTCTCACTCTCTATAACTTTTGTTTTATTTTCTCTCTCTCTCTCTTAAACGGAACCTGCTTCCCATTTTTCCTCTTTTTTTTCTCTATAATATTACTTCCTATTTGCCACGTGGCCACTCCTCTTCCCCACCCACCACCACGCTCACTCCTCCCGCGTACCCTTCACTTTCCCTTTTTTACTGCTTCTAAAGTTTACCATCTTTTTACTTATAATTTTCTTTTTCTTTTTTAATTCAGAATATCACCTCATTGATTTAATGAACTACAAATATCTTAGCCCTAAGCTAACAAATGGCAAGATGAAAATTAAATACATTACTCTTATGAAATTTAGAAAAATATATGATTTGGGGATGGTTAAATGATAAGATAATAGATAATGGATCTATCAAAAGAACCTTTTTCTCTTTTTAAAAATTAAAAAATAGAAATAAAAAATTGATTATGGTTCAAAAAGTATTGAGATCATTTTCACCTAATATTTTTCACTTAGACTAGATGAATTTTTTTTTTCTAATACTAATAATTTCATAGAATGGTGTGATTATTGTTTAATTATGAAGTTAAAAAAATTTCACTTAGACTAGATGATTTTTTTTCAAATACTAGTAATTTCATAAAATGGTGTGATTATTGTTTAATTATGAAATTAAAAAATTTTCACTTAGACTAGATGATTATAAGATGACATTTCGGTTTTACCTTCACTGACATCATAAAAATATCAAATCCATCGTCTAACTTAATTGTTTAAATTATAATATCCTAAAAAATAAAGGCCTCTATATTACAAAATTAGAATAATAATAATAATTAAAAAGCGGGCAAAAAACGTCTATATTCTAATGTTTAAATAGTCGAAATTTGCCGCAAATTTTTGACTAACGAAATGGAAAATGTTAGGAAATTATAATCCTAAACAGCGATTTACAAACAAAACTTTGATTATGCAATGAAAGCCACGAAGAGTCGATTAAAATATTTTTAAAATTAAATCACAGTTTGTGGTTATCAATTCTGTGGGACATCGTTAATTGAACCCGTCTTCCTGTAGTTAGTTATTAATTGTGGATAAAAATTTATTGATTTATTACTTCTATGCAATAGGCAAATTACCAAATGAACAACTTCTAACTAACAAGTAACAAACAAAGTTTCCATTTTAATTTTTGTATTTTAACGAAATTTCAAAATTATCACAATATAAATATGTGAAAATAAAATGAGAGGTATTGTGGAAATTATTCAAGACTTGCCAACCAAATGTGAGTTGAATATAAAATTATTAGAAAATTATATAGATTGAGAAATTATATTAAAAGAAACAAATAAGTACAAGTAGGTGCAAATAAAGTAGGATTTTTAGTGGTTAGTAATGTTTAATGCTTTAAATATTGAAGTCTATAATTGTCCAACTCATGAATAGGTAATGAATCCAAATCCAAAGAATATATGGTGGATCTTTGCTTCAGCATCTAAGACTTGTTATTAGAAATATATATAAAATATACATAATATGTTACAGTTTTCTAATTTCCCTTTTAATTTTCTAATGTAACCAAATGATTTCTATCGTCATTCCTTTAAAATAAAGATCTACATTTGCCGGGTAAGAGATATTTTTCCCTCCACATCTAGACATTCAAAATGGTTGAATATTGGTTGAATATCAATATTTTATATTGATGTACGTACGTATGGGCTTGAGACGGGATTAAGTAATATTTTACTACTTGAGTTACTTTTCCTATAATAATAATAATAAAGAAACATATATTATTAGTAAAACGGTAAGATATTACGTTACTAAAATTAAATACTTCCTAAGAAACTAAAAAGAAAACAAAGAAAAAAAGAAAACGCTTTCACATATAAATTAAATTTGGTGGGCAGGGATTTAAACTAATATTTATTTTATTTTGTTGTCGAAGAATTTATTTAATTTATTAAACTATTTTCGCACCAATTATACTAATTTTTAGTCAAACCATTGAGATGACTTTCATACAAAGATTAAATTTTGAAGATAAAAAATTTATTTAATCATATTATAGGTTAAATTTAAAAAATAAAATAAAAGTCTATGTAAAAGAAACTAGTTTAAAAAATATGATCTCTATAAAATCTCCATGATTTTTGAGATTTCAATTTAATTCTAATAATTTGGCTAAAACTTCGCAAAGAATTTATAAACCATTGTTTACCCACCTAACAATTTCATAATTCTTCTATTCATTATACAATATTAAATCTAACATAATCAGCTAACATGTTAACCTGTTACCATGTAAATAAAAAACTATGTCAACCTGTTCAATGTGATAAAATTTTACTTGGTAAAAAAAAAGAGTGATTAACATTTTACGGTAAAAAATATGTGTGAGATTTAACTGAATTAAAATAAAACAAAAATTATAAAATAAACAAAATATAAGAAGTAAAATTGGGACAAAAGTTTCACCGACCCACATTCACATTGAGCGACGCGTTTGAGGCGCGTTTGGGAAGGAATTGAAAATGTTGGGATTTTGTAATTTGGTTGCTTGGCATTTAATGCAAATAGAGAATAAATAAAGAAAGAAAAACAACCCTGGAAATAAAATAATTGAAAAAAAAGAGGCTAAATCTCTCAATATATCTGGTTGAGATGAGATCAAGATCCAAAGCAATTCCTTGTATTCTAAATATGGAAGCATCTAAATCTTTATATCCCGCCCTTTTCCTTCGACTTTCAACTCCTACCCCATCCCTTTCCCTTTCCACACTTTTTTTTTTAAAATAAATTCTATAAGTTATTTATTTTATACACTTTGAAGATGTCTTCTAATATAATTTTTAAAACTTTATTGTTTTTAATCTCATGGCTAAAGTGACCAAAATAAAATACTCAACTGCTCCAAAACTTAA